GCGGATCTTCTCCATCCTAGAGCAGAGAGTGAAGGTAGGTGCTGCAGGTGGTGTGTGGTGTGGGAAGAGGTCTAGGAATCTGTCTGTCGTTGCTACAGAGCTCTACAGCTCCACAGTGTTCAAGGGGAAAAGATTTTGGGGGAGAGGATGGGTCCTCTCATGCCTGAATGTCGGTGCACAGAAGACAGCCCTGTTCTGCTGCCTGTCAGGTTGCGGTCGTGGGCAGCATTTCATAGCAGACATGAAGGAAGTGTCAGAGATGGGCCCTGAGCTCTGGTTCTGGCTCTGAACTTTGTGCACCAGTCACTTTGCTCGTCTCTTGCCTGGGAAGTTTTCTGTCCTGAGGATTGTGATGAATTTGGTAACAGCTGTGGCCCTCACTCTGTAACAAGCACCCTGGGAAAGCCTGTGAGGAAATCCCTCACTCTGCCCTTAGTTCTGAGCTTGTGCTTCATAGCAAGTGAGGCTGAGGCCACGTGTTTGTACCTGAGGAATCAAAGGGACGTTAGAAAACTGTCCAGGTCCCCTCCGAGAGGGAGGAAGGAAGACCAAGGTCCCACAGGAGCAGCAGCATGGGTTCTCTGGGGGGTCATTAAACTTGCCCAAGCTGGCTTATCTGTGCACCCTTTTGCTTCTGGAAGGTTAGCCTTGCTGGGTAATGTTCGCTGAAGGGTGATGGTTAGTTTTTAAGTATGCTTGGTTTGGGGAGCTAACAGGTAAGTTCTGAAGATAAGGTGAGATGAGCTTCTGTTGCAGATTCCCTCAGGGCCAGTCACTCCCATGAGCATGTCATAGTCATTTAGGTTGATGATCTTAAAGGTCTTTTCTAAGTCCAACCATAAACCTCATATTGCCAACTGTGCCACTAAACCATGTCCCTAAGGGGATGGTGACTCCATCACTTCCCTGGGCAGCCTGTTTCAATACTTGACAACCCTTTCAGTGAAGAAATTCTTTCTCACATCCAAACTCACCTGCCCTTGGTGCAACTTGAGGCCATTTCCTCTTGTCCTGTCACTTGTTCCTTGGTTGAACAGACCCACCCCCACCTCTCTACACCCTCCTTTCAGGGAGCTGGAGAGAGCCAGAAGGTCTCCCCTCAGCCTCCTTTTCTCCAGGATCAACAACCCCAGT